GATTGGAGATGTGTGATTCCTATTGTCTCGGTTTACTACTGCGGTGAACAGTTCAAGATCATTATATCCACTGCGTCACCAAGTAAATCCGATAGGTATTCACTATGATAGGTTCAAATCCAAAAGACACATCTTCAGATGCATCTCTTTTCCGCCAGTACTCTCAATTTCTTCTTAGTTTTTTCATTCATGTGGAGGATTGTTGGAAATTTTATATTATTTAATATTTAATTTCTATAGTGAATGAAAAATAAGTTTCTCTAAGAAACGTGTGTCTTAGGCCAGTTTCTCTAACTGGTCGGCTTCCTTAGATTTGTGCCTATTGCTTTTCAAAGTAAAATGATGCAAAGGTTGTATCTCGTTCAGGCAAATGGAAGGTATATAGCAATTTATAGAACAATACAGTAATCCAGAAGAAATATTATGAAATGAAAAGAATAAAAAGTAAAAAAAGAGAAGCTAGGAAAGGAATTCCCACCTGCAATGTATATGTATGAAAGGAAGGACCAAGTTTGTTTTGCCTTTGGTTAATGACTAGAAAAGCTCACTTGCAGATTGCTTTCTCCGGCCGTAGATGCAATAGAAATTTTCTCTTAATAATAGAACAATGATCGGGTAATTGTAAGAACAAGTTGATTTAAAATTGGGTTCAGGTCAACTCATAGATTTCTTGCCTTTTCTATTCTCCTTCCTTGGACATGAGCGGTTTAATCTTGGACTCTTCCCCATCATGTTGGGGCCTGTCTTCTTCTTGAGGATTGTATAGGCCCAGGAAATGCTTCGAGGTAGTTTTTGTGTTTTAGGCCTTGGGACCCAACTTCGCAAAAAGAAAACAAATTTGACCCAAAAACAAAGTTGAAGAACATTGAAATTGTACCTGTAGGATAGGTTAAAACACTATAAGGGAGGTAAATAGTATGTTTACAGAGTTGAAGTGTAATAAAGGAATAAAAACATGCCCAGAGAATTGATAAGTGATATCAATTCTTGAATATACAGAACGTAAAACAAAGGAACACGTAGAAAATTATTTTATGTGGTAAAACCCTACCTCTGGGGAAAATCCACCGGACTTCTTAGTCCAAAACAAATCCATAGAACGATGATTACAGGAAATACTCATACACTTATCCTAAACACATTCTAGATAATGTTTACTAACATCTTTGTAACTCAACTTCTATATCAGGATGATCTTTCGACACTCCTTATGTTGAACACAATAATGGTCACGATTTCTTCAAGCTCGCTGGAGTTCTTCCAACTCTCCTTATATTGAATCTAATACTAGTCACAATTGATTCAAGCACATCGGAGAAAAACCGTCACAACGGTCTTGGTGCCCTCAACCGTATGAGTCACTGAACTTGCAAATGAATACAATATGAATGATAAAAGTGTTTGATAAATCACCAAATTATGGAACACTTGATGATTTATCTCAAATAAAAACTCAACTTTCCAAAGTTTATGAATTGAAAATATGATCGTTAAAGCTCTCTAAACAAAGAAGACGAATGTCTTATTTTATAGACTTTTTCTTTACAAGAAAGAAAACACGTTGAAAACCAAATCTCCAATTTCCAAGGCTAGACAAAAAATCACAAAAGTATCTTTTATTCTAGAGATTGGTCACATGTAGTCCAACCAATAGGAAATGAGATATTTAAGAAAGCAAGATTTTGATCAATATCAATATCAAATGAATTCTTATATGCATAGTCAACTATTAAGGGTATCTTGACTCCTTGATGTTGTGATATGATTGAAACATGATTTCCACGTTAGAAAATTAAGGGGATGTTAAGACATGAAAGTAATAGGAGAATCAAATTGATTTGGACCAAAATTGCCTAAAAAGAAAACACTCCTAAATAAACTTCAATTCACTTTTAAAAACAGTAAAACGTGATTGAATCGTTCTTTAAAACAATTCCCTAATATACATGCATGATAATGACATCACTTACCCCTGAATCAAATTGTCACACCCCGGACCCGGGGGTCAATGGAAACCCCGCACCCAGTGCGTGATAAAATAAAAAGTAAAATAAAATATATAAAAAAGCCGAAACAAGAGTTTAAAATAAACTTCTCTTATAAAAATAGCTCCAAAATCTTACAACTTTACAAAAAATAAATAAAGCTCTATCATTTTTATCTAATTCAGCCTCAACGGGTTTAGTCCTTATCTTGCCCACTAAAACCTTGATTTTCTGAACCAAGGAAAATCAAGTAAAATTAATAAAGCCTAAATTGGAAAGGGAAAATATATAGAGGATGAATTGTAGGATTGCTCATGCCAATAATTGTACCCTCTGAATATATAGGGACATATTTTTTTTGTTTTCATGACATGTGGTCCTAAAATTATTGTGTAAATCTTCAATCCTGAACGATGCACCTAAAACTCAAGTGTCCCAGGCCAATTATTGCTCCTAGTGGTCCATTATTATTAACCACATATTTTATGGACCATCCAGCTGTGAGGTTTTATCTCAAAAACCACATGCCACAATTGTATATTCACAATTATGTCACTTCTTTTCAAAAGACTATGTCACTTTACCTCTATCTCTGTAAAATGTAAAAAGTTGAAACTTTAATGTCAAACCTCGATAGAAGATGAACTTCCATCAGTTATGTTGAATTTGGATTTGTTGAATTTAAGTGGTTTTACTTGCTCTGTCAGTGTTTGATGACTTAATTTGTTATTTTCTTCCTTGGAAATGTGTTCCACCAACGTGAGGAAGAAAAATATGCACAAATTAATATATTTAATAGAAGCACAAATTAATATGCACAAATCAAGTAAAATTAATAAAGCATAAATTGGAAAGGAAAAATATATAGAGGATGCATTGTAGCATTGCTCACGCCAAAAATTGTACCCTCTGAATATATAGGGACATATTTTTTTTGCTTTCATGACATGTGGTCCTAAAATTATTGTTCCTAGCGAGCGGGCTCTCCACCCCCTCTCAAATTTAAGCGGTCCATTATTATTAACCACATATTTTATGTCACACATACCACATGCCACAATTATTTCTGATACATCACATCATGCCACAGTGCCACTTGCCTCAATTACTTCTGGGTACCCCTCATCACTCGTCTATAAAATGGTGAAGCCAGTTGCTATCGTTACCATAAGAGCTATTCCACCGGTGCAGCCCAGCTCGGGGGTAGGGGAAAAAAAAAAAAATTGGCCTTCCAGCGGTGCAGCCCAGGCCCGGGGGGGGTGTGGGACCCACCTCCTCGGGCTGGCCCGAAGGCAAGTCCTGCCCGAGGTCCAAAACGCGGTGGCTGACGTCATGTCGACGTCAGGGTGACGTCGACACGCGGTAATATAAATTTTTTTACCGTTGGCGCGTGCATTGCACGCGCCAACGGTAAAAAAATTTTGAACCAGCGTGCGCTGACGTCAGCGCGCCGCAGGCCCAACGGCTGGAAGCCACGTGGCACGCCCCCAGCGCTCCGATTTGATTCCACAGCCTTCATCCAACGGCTCCCGATTTTCCAGCAATAAAATTATGAAAAAAAATCGAAATTTTTTTAAAAAAAATACTAAAAAATACTTTCAAATTCTGATTTTTTTTTTTCCTATAAATACCTATAAATACCCTTCACTTTCAACACCAATTCTCATACATTTTATTCTACTTCTACAATTCTTCAACATTTTTTCACTCTTCACTTCACATTTTCATCTCTTTCACATTGTATTTTTATTTCTTATTTTTATGGCTTCTTCTATTGAAACCGGAGGGGCGTGGAGCACCATGGAAGATGTTTCTTTGTGTGAGGCTTGGCTCCGAGTTTGTCATTGTCCCATGACAGGCAATGAGATGAAATTTTTCCATATGTGGAAAAAAATTCATGCCGAATTTTGCGAAAAAATTCCGGACTCGCCTCGTACGGAAATGGCATTGTCGAGTAGGTGGAAACTTCTCAACAAAGAGATGGCAAAATGGAGAGATGCATTGGCAAAAGCGATGAACTCTATTCTCTCTCGTGCCTCTCCAAGCATCTCCTATATTCTTCCATTGAGAATGAATGGAGTATGAATTCTAAACTCTAAGAAATGAAAATATTGAAAGATGTGGTGTGAGAGGTATGATGTGAGCCTCTGGTTTTATAGAAAAATTTGGCAAGATAGAGATGCCACGTGGCTTGATTTGATTGGATGAAAATCTTATCTGAAATTTGAAATTCATCCGAAATTTGAACCCAAATTTATCTGAAATTTGAATTTTGAAATTCATCCGAAATTTGAACCCAAATTCATCTGAATTTTGAATTTTGAAATTCATCCGAAATTTGAATTTTGAAATTCATTCGAAATTTGAACCCAAAAATTTATCTGAAATTTGAATTTTGAAATTCATCCGAAATTTGAACCCAAAAATCTTATCCCGAAATTTTATCCGATTATGAATAGTGTTGACACGTAGGAACCCGTAAATCTTATCCGAAAATATTATCCAAATTAATTATTGAGGTAAAAAAAATTGTGAATAAAACAAAAAAATGAATAGTAACTGCCCTTAGCTAGGGCAATGGGTGGAAACACAAAATTCTGATTTTGCAAGGACAACCACTATTCACGTGAATAGTGGCTGCCCTAGCTCCCCCCTTGCCATGGCTAAGGGCAATATGGGTGGAGTTGCTCTAAGAGCCAGCTCCACTAGCTACATCTGTTGCCAAGTTAATTTCAGTCCTAATGGGGTTTCATCTCCCACTCATCTTTGCTATTCTCAGTGTAAGCTCTGCAATTTGATTAACTTTTCCATTCTCTCTCATTGTACTCTATATATACAAATGAAAGTTTTGTGTTCACTAATTAATTAACTTTTGTGTTCACTAATTAATTAACTTTTCCATTCTCTCTCATTGTCTTCTCTCCGATTTTATTTAGTACGTACACTAGTGTCGTCCACTAATTAATTACACTTTGTGAGATTTGATTTTAATTAGAGTTCGAATTAATGTTGCAGCTAGCAGCGGTTGCACTGGCAAACCATGCTGCTCAACCAGCACCTCAACTTTACTGGAACTCCGTCCTGCCAAACACACAGATGCCAAGATCTATCAGTGAACTTCTGCATCCTGGTTTGTGTTGAGCACTTTAGAATCTTAGATATCTCTTCTACCTGCCATTTTACTAAAATATGTTCGACCACATATTTATCAGTTAACTACTGTCATTACATGAGTGACACATATTCACAAATCGGCTGATCACTTATTTTCCATTATAATTTGCAGACTCCACAAATGAAGAAAAGGGCAATGGAAAGGGCAAACCTGAAAGTTTCCCATTGGGCAATAGACATTACACTCAAAGCCATTATGGAAAGGGTCCTCCTCCATCTGACGAGGGCAAACCTGAAAGTTTCCCATTGGGCAATAGACATTACACTCAAAGCCATTATGGAAAAGGTCCTCCTCCATCTGACGAGGGCAAACCTGAAAAACTCCCATTTTCAAGTTACAGTCTAAAAACGTATGGAAGTCCTCCTCCATACGTTCAAAAAAATTATGGACCGGGCGTTAAACGTTACACTCAAAGACGGTATAGAAGAGCTCCTCCTCCATCTGACAATCAACTACTCCATTATAAAGAGTTAGCTATTTTCTTCTTCGAGAAGGACATGAGCCCTGGCGCAACAATGAAGTTCCAATTCCCTAGAAGTTCAAACACGGCTACTTTCCTGCCACGCGAAAGTGCTCAATCGATCCCCTTCTCCTCTAACAAACTACCAGAAATTTTCAACCATTTTTCATTGAAGCCAACATCTGTGGAAGCCAAAACAATTAAGGAAACAATCGAAGAGTGTGAAGCTCCAGGCCTTAAGGGAGAGGAAAAATATTGCGCCACATCTTTAGAATCAATGGTTGATTTTAGCACTTCGAAGCTTGGAACAAGAAACGTTGAAGCAGTCTCGACGGAGGTATTGGAAAGAGGAGCCACCATGTCCATGCACAACTATACCACAATGCCGGGACTGAAGAAGTTGGCAGGTGACAAAGTCGTTGTGTGTCATAAGGAGAACTATCCCTATGCTGTGTATTTCTGCCATGCAATAAAACAAACAGCAGCTTATGTTCTCTCCCTGAAAGGCGATGATGGGGAGAAGGTTAAAGCAGTAACCATCTGCCATCTAGACACATCAGAATGGGACCCAGAGCATTTGTCCTTCCAAATCCTCAACGTTAAGCCCGGAACCGTTCCCATCTGCCATTTCATTTCCACTGATGCTATTGCCTGGGTTCCAAAACACAAATCTGCATGATCATCACTTAGCACTGTACGTATAATAAGCTTGGTCGGGTTGCACCCTAGGCCTGCATAATTATCTCCCTACTTATTTCTGCCTCTTCATCATGTGGTGTAAGATATATGATGAGATGAAGTTTTCAGGATTAGTGGTCGGGTTGCCTAAAAAGCACAGATTACAGAAACTGCTTGAAATTAACCCGATCATGTTTTCTCTTGTAAGACTTCAACTTGTACTCCTGAAGCATGCTATATTTATGAAGAGATATTAATCTATATATTTTTTTTATATATGCTTTGGCTTTGTGGTTGTACCCAATGTTTGAGTGTTGAATTGTTACGTTGGAATAGGCTGCTAATGCATGTAGTTAGAGAAGCCTTCATTTATATCAAAGTCCTCAAACTATCAAGAACTAATGTATCCAGAAACATATACCAAGACGCAAAACAACATATTTTCCATGCTCTGTCTGTAACACCAAAGCAAACTTCCTTTATCACATCATTTAAAGGATCAAATTCCAGTACTAATCTAATCCATCATGTAAAGCATACAAGTGCGTCCCTAAATTTGTCCATTGGATATATATATGTCACCTTTTATTTTTTGATAGAGATATAAATGTTGAGAAAATTAGAGTACACAACTCTAATATAGACTTGTTGAAGACAAAACAAGTAAACAAATTACTTGTATTAGACTCACAAAATATTACAACAAGACAACTCTCAAAGAAAAGACAAACTCTTACAATCACTCTTTCTCACTTCTAGAGATAAACTTTCACACTTTTCACAAGGACTACTTAACTCTACAGCTTATTTCATATAGCATATAGCATATGCAAACACAATTAGAAATTCTACAACAGAAGCAAGATCAATATTATATGTAATAACTATTGATCTAAAATAAACATTAAATCAAACAAAGATATTGTACTTCAAAATCTTGTGCAAAATTTTAATCCCCATTTACTAAACAAATTTGCAATGGATCAAACAAAAAAGAAGAATTAAAGCAATTTTGAACAATTGTCTCGATCATGTAAACTTTTTTGTCATCTTCATTGTTTGCGGGCTACTTGCATATGTTGAATATGTTGAGCTCCAATGTCATGTTCCCAAATGATAGTTGCATAAGTCCATTCCTGCAATTTATATGAGCATTAGATGTAGCAAGAAATGGTCTTCCAAGAATAACAGGAATTTGAGAATTAGAATACACAACTGGTTCAATATCCAAAACTATAAAATCAACTGGAAAATAAAATTTGTCTACCTGAATTAGCACATCTTCCACCATACCTCTTGGGATTTTGACTGAACGGTCAACCAATTGCAATGTTATTGAGGTGGGTTTCCTGGGATCTAAAATTTTGACTGAATGGTCAGCCAACCGACGTCTAAAGTATTAAATAATTACATTTGGTGTGCGTTTCCTGGGATTCGAACGCGCGTAATTGACCAAAAAGAGCGAGAGAAAACCGGCATCGTTTCAATAAACCCTAAACCATAAATTTTACAATAATTATAAATAAAAAATACACAAGTATGAGAAAAATGAACCGAAAATTGCTACGGACTCCTTACAACAATGCCTTCTATATTAGTAGGCTAAAATCCATATTAAATAATTTTGAATTTTATGACCACCAATGCATCACATAAACCATAGGGTTATGTTATGGAAAGTATAATGACTATTGTGCTTTGTCTCTAAATCTTTTTTACTTTTGTTATCACTTCTAATTTTGAAATATAAATTAAAATTTTTAGGCATTTAGGGGGAAGATATTGTCTCAATGAGTGAATAGAATTTGTCTGTTTATTTTTCAGATTTTTTTTAATATATTATGAATATTAGTAATTAAATACAAATTAAATATTTTTAAAATTAAAATTTTTAAAGATTTGGGGGAGATAAAATCTTTCAACGAGTGCATGGTAGTTGTCAGTTTATCTTATGGAATTTGTTTTGAAATTATTATGAATATTAGGAATAAAATATAAAAGTCATACAAAAATCAAATGACAAATGTACATAACCGACGTTGCATCAGTTTACAACGACGTTAAATAACACATGATGTCGTCCTAGAAGACATTATACGTTGCAATGTATGCACCGACGTGGTTAGTAAGTTACAACGTCCACCTTTTCTGAATAACCGACGTGGGTAGAATTTACACCGTCGATTATTATGTTGATGACGACGTTGTTTACGTATACAACGTCACATTTTATATAATAACCATCGTGTATATCAACCTTACATGTCTTTTTGAGAAATGTCGTCGATGTTTTCTTTCCTGCTATAATAAGACGGCGGTTGTTTATAGATGTGAGACGTGTAAATAAGAATGAGACGTCGGATTTTGGGAATTAATTTAAATTTTTTTGATTTATTATTCATTTTATTATCATAATATCTAATACATAAATATACAAAAAAAAAAAAAAAAAAAAAAAAAAAAAAAAAAAAAAGAAAAATATATTTCATTTGATTTTTTTTATGAATGTTCAATTAATTACCAAAATATGTTTATATACATTATCAAAAATTAAAATAAACCTAAAATTTTTGAAAATAAATTATATCACTTATTGTTCTGTAATTGCTTGTTCATGAATTTTTCCCATTCCAGCCTGACTTCATCAATATGTTCTAAGTATACACAACTGGTTCCTTTTTCTTGTCAAACTGCAAATAAAGAACAAAAACCGATGTGTTATAAATATTAAAACAACGGTTTTGAAAGAAAACTTCGTGGTCTTAAATTTTACCTTCTTCTCAAATGCTAGGCCTGGATCATGAATTATATCTCTCATGAAACGCATCACGTAAACATTTTGATTGAACTGTTTCAAGAAAACAACAAGTGTTAATGACAAAACTAAAAATCAGAAATATATATATATATATATATTAACGTCGTGGTAAATAAGTGAAGACGACGGTTTTGTAAAACCAATGACGTCGTATTTTATTTCAAACGTCGAAAATAAGAATCGTCGTTGTGTTTCATTCTAACGTCGGTGACGAAGAAAAACGACTAATAACCAAAGTTGTTTTTAAATGAAAGTTGAACATAAAAAAAATAAAACCTCCTAAACTGAAAAACACAAATGACGTGGTATTTCAATTAAGACGACGGTGTCAAGAAAATACTAACGTTGTAAATGATTTCAAACAACGGTTATAACATACCATCGTTGTGTTTTCACTACAACGTTAGTATTTGAAAAAGCTGTCGTATTATTCAAATGCAGAAATAAAAAATCTTAGATTTTCATAAATAAACTTACGTATTCACTATATTTCTCATGTCCTCGTCAACAGAGCAGTTTGGAAATTAATCCATGTAATAGACAATCTCCTTACTGGTCTCACAATTATTAACACCCAATGACCCCTACACAAAATGATCCATATATATATAAATAAAACAAAAAAAAAAAAAAAAAAAAAATTTACAAGGGATCAAGAATAGAAGGGGACTAACCCTGGATTATAAGGCACCAACTAAAATTGATCCCTATCTGAGTTTTTCAGGTGGTTTGAGAGATGTTTTGAATGGTGAGATAACGTTCCAGATTGAGAGTTGAGTTGGCCAAGGTCCACGAGGCCAACAAGGTTTACTATATTTGCCATTTTTAAATAGTCAAATAGGTACCTAATTAAATATATGAAATTCAATTAAATGAGATTTTAATTTAAAAGAAAGGAAATGTAAAAAAAACAAAACAAAACAAAATTGGATTTCTAGAATTACCTCATGTATAGTGCAATCACTGTGGATCCAATCTCAACCATGGAAGCAAACTGTAAATGTCTTCACTCAAGAGCCAGGTATCATGCTCAGTACCAAACACTTCCTCTGGCAAGTGAATTCTAATGGTCTCGTTAGCAGACTTCAATTTGATGTTTGATCTTTGTGCTTTGGATTTTTTTAACTTTTTTTAATTTTAAGTTTGAGGCAATTGTTTTGTTTTTTTTAATCATTTTCCATAAGTCCTTAAAAGTCATTTTATTAAGGGGTAAATTGTCTTTAAAATTTTGAAGATAAGGTGGGAAAATAGGACAAGTGGGTGGAAATAGCAACACTCTTTTCATTTTTTTTCCATGATATTGCATTAATTGAATTGAAGATTTTGTTAGAGCAAAAATTATTCAAGTAGCAAATAAGAGCATCCACAATTGGCTCGCTAAACCACCTCCTTAGACAAATTTTAGGAAGGAATTGTAAAAATACAACTCTAACCATGCTCCCTATCCACCTCCTACAATAGGGAGACCTCTAGGAGCTCCTAAATATGAGGAGAGAGAAAAGAATCCTAGTGGCTCCCTATAATTTAATATGCTTTATTTAATGAGTATTTTGAACCTTTATTTGATGCTAACTATTTTTTATTTTATTTTTTAATAGAGATGGACCAATGAAAAAAGAGTTATAACTTTTATGACTCCCTAAAGTAAATAGCACGATTGAAGTTTAAATTTTATAGAGAGCTCCTAAAATAACATGTATGACTCCCATGACTCTCTCTCAACCAAAAATATAGTAAGTGCCAGTTTGGCGTTACTTATTTGGGATGATAAGTGATTTTTAAAAAAATTTGGGAAGCCCAGCCCGTTTGGTAAACTATGAGAAAATCACTTATTGTTAAAAATTGATGTGAGAGAAAGCTATAAGGGAAATCATCTAATAAGGTGCTTTAATTTTCTGATTATGTAGGAATCAGTTTTGAAGAGGCGATGTGTTTAATGATTATGCAGCAATAATTTTCTGAATATGCGGAAATCAATACCAACAACATTTTTAACAAAAAGTTTACTATACGTCAAACTGTTTTATTTCACAGTAAATCTAACAGCGATTATTTTCACAGCACAGCAATGCCAAACTAGCCCTAAATCTACATTTTCACCTGGCTACTGTCACCTATAATATTTTGACCTGTATGTTCAAAGGACCAAGTTGGTTTCCCTTTGGTCGATTACAAGAGAAGCTCAATGCAGCTTACTTGATTCCTCTGGTAGATGGGCTACGTAGAACAACTTTTTGTTTTATATGTTTATGTGAGGCGTTTTGCCAGATTGAATTAATGTCTTCTAGCTACGTACCGTATCTTTTTGACGCAGAGCATGGACTTGGGTTGACTTGTATAAGACAAGACTGAACCAAACGTACGTTCAATTATTTTAATTTATTTTTTTAGTCGGAGCCATTCAATTCCTAATTATTTAGATTTTGGATCCAGTTCCACATCCCAAAGAAAGAAAACCACAAGTTTGCAAGCAGGTTTGATGCCATTTCCCCCAGTTTTCTAGATATGTATGTACACGAGAAAGTTTGTCCATATTAACACTACGTAGAGTATAGGCAGTGTGCTACTCATCTCATTTTTTTCAACCTACCCTATATTTGTCTAAAAGAGTTTTTAATTTCATGTACTGAGATTTACGAGAGAAATATCTGAGAAACAATTTAATATTATATACAATTTATACCAATATTTTCAAGCAAAAAAATGTCTTGGCAAGAAAATGTAAAATTTGTTACATAACTTATTAAATATGAACAGTTGAAAGAAAAAAGAATTTGATGAATCCTTGGCCTGTTTGGATGAGGGATTTGGCTTTCATGGGATTTGCAAATTCCTGTGGCCCAATTACCTTGTTTGGAAAGCTACTGGACCTCAACAAAAACTCAATAATGAAGGCGGCATCCACTAGATTGATTCTTAGAAATTCTTCACTGCTATACCCAATCGGTTCTGCATAGCAACTTCTCAGTTTTACTTCTTGGAGCTTTATTTTATTTTTATAAAACTCCAATTGTATCTTGGTTCTACGTAGAAAACCTTGTAGATACCTCCTTTTGTGATATTCCATACCATTTAAGTGTTCCTTTCCATGGTGAAGTGGGCCTATAGAGACTACCTGAGGCGTGTAGGCTTCATCATCTTTTCCCTGCCGTAGTCGCATAGGAACTCTGTAGATACACCGCAAAGGGGACAGGAGAAGCCACCCGATTCCAGCATCAAATCGTATGGGTTTTCTATGTCATTTGGACCTTCATCAATTTCTGCCATTTTCCTCCTGATCATACAGTGATTCAAATATTTCATTATGAACGTTGGAGATGCTTTAAGCAAACTTTTGAAAACAAAAACCAAAAAACATCATGAAGAAAGAGGGAAAGGCCGAAAGAGGCAAAATCTTAGTTGGTAACAGGTTGGTTCGAGGACTCGTTGGTCAAAGGAAAGATGGAACCATAGTACCTGCAGCCCCCACAGACTTCATATTCATCATTTTATCAGGCGGGGGGAATCAAGGTTTGGCTCCGATGGCCTCAAATTCTTATGATACTCATGTCGTTAAACTATTTCGACTTTGGTCAAACCTTTTCATCTATTCTTGTTTTGCATGGATGTTTCTTAGATAGTCACCTAATTTAAATTAGACAGTTTGGATCAATATATATTGTGGATATCTTGAAAAAATAGTGGGAATTCTAAGTCTTGCACGAAAAAAATCATGTGTGTCAAGCTCAAATAGAATTGATCGGTCCACGTGTTTAGCTCAGTCTAAGAGGATCCAAACAAGGTGATTATTTAGATCTTATGCTTCCAATCAAACATTGCGATACAGACCAAATTTCCATGAGAGAGAGAGAGAGAGAGAGAGAGAGAGAGAAGAAAATTACAATATCCCATAACCTTTGTTTAATTCCAGTTCCCCCACTACCATGAACATATGTAATCAACAACGTAATTTGAATTGAAAAAGAAAAGAGATATATGGAAGTGAATAAAACACACCTCTAAGGTTGTTTTGCCTTTGGTAGCTGATCAGAAAAGCTCAACGCAGATAGTTTGAGGTAGAAATTTTCTCCTATTAATAGAAGAATGATGAACTATATGTAAGAAGAAGTAGATTTAATTTCTTCCACATTTAAAAAAAAAAAATCTTTACTAATGATAATTATAAAATAAAAAAAAGTATGATTCCTTTAGACGACAGGTTAGCTTACAGCTTCCTTTTAATATATTTACGAAAAGTTTTGCTCAGACCTAAAAAAGTTCTAAGTCAACCCATCAATTTTCTTTTACACTCTTTGTGAATTCTTATCTGAAAATTTGAAAAACTTAAAACTAAAATAAGTAACTCAACAAAACCCTCAAGTAGAATGACCCATTTTGATCATCATTCAACTATTTTGACCGGTGGCGGCAAAACTTTACAGTTTGACTCTTTGAGCCGTTTTCATATCAAAAAAATACTCTTTTAATTAGGGACAAATTACGTTCATAATTCAGCCACAACAAAATAATGCAATGTTCTCTTGCAAATAACATTAATATAATATCTAATAAAAAAGATCTTACTTCGGCCATAACCACAAATGGCCAATACAAATCCGCCATGTAACGCCAACAAACTTTAGTCAAACCAAGAACCACAACTATAAAACAAACTTAAAGATACAAAACCATGTGCAATAAAAACTTACCAGAAAATCAAGACTTATGCTCTTATTTGCTCATTTACGCGCACCGAAGTCAGTCATTAATATTGTTGTTATAATATACACACACAACACTCTTATATATAATGGCGAGAAAGTTAGTAGGCCATATTCTTAAATCAGCTTCAAAGCATGCCGGGGTATAATTGGTTCGAATAATAAAAGCAGAAAAGCGGTGTTTTTCTTTTTCTTTCAGAACAAGCAAAAGAAATGTTATTCTTAATCAGTTTTTACCATCAATCTTGGCTTAATGACTTCATTGATTTCATTCTTATATTAACTGTTTTTTTATAAACATTTTTGGGGTTAATGGAGATGTTCCAAGGGGTGGACTGCGTGTAGACATGAGTTTAGTTAAGTTAGCTAGAGCAGATGTGCTCCCTATTTTGCACCGGAGTTCGAATCCTCCTTTCCGTAGTTTAGATTAGATTGAAGTAGAATATCACTTGTATAAAAAGGGGTGGAGTGTGTGAATGCATTGAATTTAGCTTTAATATGTATTGGATTCGAAGGAAAAAAAATTGGATCCTTTTCGTGTTAATTAATTAAAGTGTATCACTCAGAAAGGCTACAGTGGTTCTCGTGCATTTCGTTGGAATAAATTAACTATGAAGTAATGGATTTGTTCCTGTTGTATTCAAGAAGTAGGGGGAGGCAGAGCTTGTGGTATATCCATTACACATGATGACCTCACGCCTGTGGTTAGGGTTTGGAATGGCCCTTGAACTTGTGGCAGTTTCGATTTCAATTGTGGAGGCACTGGATATAACTTTCTAACAAAATCAACAAAATGCTCTACCTGATGAGGAGGACGTATCCGGGTCAAAGTGTCTTCTATGTCTTCCATGTCCTTCATATGCATTAGAGTTTTGAAGAAATGGTAAGAAAGATCAATAATTGTCGTCTGGATGCCAACTATATTTCTTTCATGATCGAAAAGATCCTCAAGAATGAAGAAAGGCAGCTGATTTTCAAGCATCCGCATGTCAGGCCATACATCCTCCAACATCCTTGGTTTGTTAAATATACGATCATTCTCAACCTGCAAATTCTTGTAACAGAACCTCAACAAGACCTCGATGATGAAGGCCGCATCCACCAGAATGATTCTTACAAATTCATCGCGACTGAACCCAATGGTCTCTGCATAACAACTGCGCAGTTTTGCTTCTTGGGCCCTTATTTTCCTTATAAAATATTCCAAACTTACATTGGTCCGATGTAAAAAATCTTGTAGGTACCTATTTTTAAGCTCTTCCATGGCTTTCAGGGCTTCTTTTCCATGGTGAAGGGGGCCTATATGATTGACCTCCGGGGTAAATACAAAACCAACGACAAGTCCAAATGATTGACCTCTTTGTTTTGCGGTTTCCATTCATTTTGTGACAAATCAAATTTGATTTGTCTTGTTTACTCTCATGCACTTGCCCTCTTTGTTCATTAGGAGTTTTTTCATTATCGATCTGAACCAAGGGAAATCGAGTAAAAATACGAATTGAAAAGGGTAAAGGACAGCTTGTTTGGGTAATAAGGAGAAAAGATCTAGAGGATTCATTGGATTGGATGGCATTAATTGATCATGCAAGAATAGAGAGACACATGGGCGGAACTGAGGCCAATGCAAGCTCTTTTCCCCCTGTTTTTTCCCCTGTTTTCCTCTGTATTCCGGGTATGTAATGTACATGAGAAAAGTTTGTCCAGGTTACAAAAGGTCCTAAAAAAAAGTCAGCCAACAGATATGAAAAACGCTACAAATTTCAACACAAATATGAATCTCTCATTACCACACACAAGCTAAAAAGTTACGACAAATAAACCACACAATAAAATCTCCAAACTCACAAAGAAACCACTATATAGTCTAATATAGGAACTTCTATTTTTCCTTTTTAATCTCTCTCACGCTTGCTTTTCTTTTTTTGGGTCGAATCTCACACTTGCTTTAAGGGAACCCGGCTGTGGGGAAAAAGATATAGAGAACACTGTAAATGAGACTTGTTGTGGTTCATGCTCTAGCAGCAGAGATAATAGAGCACACAGTTTGGATAAGAGTGAGTATGAGGAGAACAACAGCTGCAATGACAGAGAGAGTTCGCCATGGTGTGTTGAAATAATTTTGTCTCAAATTTGCCATCCTTTTGTGCCTTGTCGAACTGCAGTACCTGTTCAGGTCTTGACAAAGATTAGCAAATGTGAAGTCATGGGATCCAAAAATCCCAATGCCAAGGTTATTAAATAGAGCAGCCACCTCTTTCCTGTCACCTAGAACATTTTCAATAATTCCACGATCAACAAGCAAATCCACATCACTTGCGTTGTTCACAAAACGATCCATCATGATCATATAATCACATACATAACAGTGCTGGTAATGACACTGTTCAAAGGCAAGAAGATTTCTAAGTGAGATCTCTGTGTGATCCTCTACTGCGATCTTTGGAATTTCCAGAATCCCATCAGTGAATCGAATGTCAAATATGTTTTTCCTCGATCCCACCTTAAACTTCACTCCCGCATGGTATAGCTCTGTCACGCTAGGTGTAGTTATATCTTCTAATGGTATTGATGGAACAACTTCTGATTGGCATAACGATCTTAAAATCAGATCCAAAAAATGTTCTACTTTTTTTGTAGAACTTAATCTCTTTAAAATGAACTCTTGATCTGCTTGGTACATCAGAATCATTGTTGAAGTGAAGAATTTGAGAGAAAGATCAGTTACAAATGTTGAAAGTCTGTCATCAGAAGTGTCAGAATCAGAAGAGAGTGTACCTTCTTGTAGATAAAAAAGATCCTCGAGAATGAAGAATGGTAGTTGATTCTCAAGCAATTGCATGTCAGTCATTATATCATGAAACATCACTGGTTTGTTAAATATGCGGTCATTTTCTTTTCTCGGTGTCCTGCCATTGTGTTTCAACAAGAGCTCTACGATGAATGCGGCATCTACTAGAATGATTCTTACAAATTCATCACTGCTAAATCCATTGGTTTCTGCATAACAACTTCTTAATCTTGCTTCTTGGTCTCTAATTTTCTTTATGCAATCCTCCAAGCTTACTTTGGTCCGACATAGAAATTCCTGTAGGTACCTCTTTTTATGCTCTTCCATGGCTTCTAACCCTTTCTTGCCATGGTGGAGTGGACCTATAGAGACTACCTGAGGTGTGTATGCGTTTTCATTTACACGTCTGAATCGCTCAGGAACTCTGTAAATACAACATGAAGAGGATATAGGAGATAACCTACCCAATTCCTGTCTCATGGAAGTTTCTAATGGAATGTATGGGTTCTCTACATCAACTGGAGCAGCTTGATTGCTTCCTTCCATTTTCCTCTTGATGCACTGTTGTGAATATTACTTACGTACTATAAAACAAAAGATAAGAAACTAAAAACTCCAATAAAATGGGTATGTGCAAGTAGAACAAGCAGAAGGATATATTATATACAGTTTCCTTCTATTGAGAGATCCTTCAAATAAACACCATTTAGGTTCCCTTACGAATTTTTTTCCAGCAATTCAGATCATCCATTTTTTAAGTCTACATGCATAGATCATCCTTGCAAAAAATTAGACAAATCAGAAACCTTTTCGACATCCAATTGTGTCCTACAAAATCTTTGAATACAATGCTTCAAGAAAGTACTAAAATTTCAAAAATTCAATTGAGTGGTCAAATGATTTCCAATTCAAGTGATTTTTTTATAGAGATAATCTTTGAATGAATATTTACAAAATAGATGGTTTGGATTAGTGAAATACAATACGGAGTGGACTCTACAAGAGTGTCCCTCAAATAAGCTTATTTGAGGGATCCCTCAACGAAACCTCTCTGTATAGTTATAGTTTCGTGATAATATTATATTCAAAACCAAGTGTTTAACTGAATTAACCAAAGTATAAATTATATTCATAATTCAGCCACAAACGTACGAAACAATGCAACGTTCTCTAGCAAAGTGCATTAATATCATATCTAGAAAATAAGGTCTTACAGTCACAGTCACAAATGACCAATACAGATCGGCCGTGTAACAACAGCAAACTTTGGTCAAACCAAGAACCATCAACAAATAAAACAAACTTAAAGATACAAAACCACGTGCAATAAAAACTTACCAGAAAATCAAGACTTATGCTCTTATTTGCTCGTTTACCCGCACCGAAGTCAGTCATTAATATTGTTGTTATAATATACACACACAACACTCTTATATATAATGGCGAGAAAGTTAGTAGATATTCTTAAATCAGCTTCAAAGCATGCCGGGGAATAATTGGTTCGAATAATAAAAGCAGAAAAGCGGTGTTTTTCTTTTTCTTTCACGACATGCAAAAGAAATGTTATTCTTGATCAGTTTTTACCATCAAGCTTGGCTTAATGACTTCATTGATTTCACTCTTATATTAACTGTTTTTTTTTAATAAACATTTTTGGGGTTAATGGAGATGTTCCAAGGGGTGGACTGTGTGCAAACATGGGTTTAGTTAAGTTGGCTAAAGCGAATGTGCTCCCCATTCTGCATCCGAGTTCAAATCCCCCTTCCCGTAATTTAGATTAGATTAAAATAAAATAAAATATCGCTTGTATGAAAAAAGGGGTGGATATACATTTAATTTAGCTTCAATATGTATTGGATTCAAAGATTAAAAAAAAATTTGGATCCTTTTCGTGTTAATTAATTAAACTAGTATCACTCGGAAAGGCTAAAGTGCATTTCGTTGGAATAAATTAAATATGAAGTAATGGATTTGTTCCTGTTGTATTCAAGACGTAGGGGGAGGCAGACCAACCAAAACAAAAGTTGTGGAGGCTTATAAGCTCAAGAAAGGGACGATTTGGACAGAGTAGAGACACATATGGGGACTGAGGCCAATGCAAGCTCTTTTCCCCTGTTTTTCCCCTGTTTTCCTCAACCCTATATTTATCTGTAAAAAACTTTCCAACATCATGTACTGAAATTTATGAGAGAAATATCTGAGAAACAGTTTATAATTTAGTATTATATATTATAACAATATTTTTAGCCAAATGAAAGTCTTGGCAAGAAAACGTACAGTTTGATACATACAGTTTGAATTTGTTAAATACGAACACTTGAAAGAAAAAAAGACTTTGATGGATTTACATATTTCAGCTCATTTCAGGAGCTTGGCAATGGGCCTAGCTAGCAGGGGCACTTCTTCACAACATGCTTTTCATATGGAAATGCAGCGAGAACAGGGCAAAGCAACTTCCAAGTTGGGTGGACATACACAGCTTTATTTGTTAGGTACGTATTCACAGGCTTTCCTAGTATCCCTTCTTTGATGAGACCCCAAATTAGCTTCCTGCTAGAATCTGGTGAACGAATAAGAAACCGATTATCAGAAGAGAGAGCCTAATAATGGCTTCTCACTTAATTATCTGAAATTCCTAATTTAAATCAACTTCCTATCATACTCATTAACCTTGTAAATTCCAATACTCTTCTACATAATTTTTTATTTTTCAAACTTCAAATCTCTCTTACACTCAGTTGAAGGAAACCTAAGCCTTCTTCTTTACTATAGATGACTAATCACAGTTTGCAAATTAAACCAAACTTACATCTCTCTAAGCGGTAGAAAACCAGCACATGTGATGTGATGAACAAAGGGATAGGGATATGGGGAGTTAAAGGCCAAGGAGAAACTTACTATTGTTGCGCAGCAGAGATAATAGAGCACACCGTCTGTACGAAAGTGAGCATTAGGAAAATAGCAGCTGCAACGATTTCCTTAGTTGTCCAAGGTGAGTTGAAGAAATTTTTTATCAAATATTCCTTCCATCTGTGCCTAAACATTCTGTAGTACTTGTTCAGGTCTTCACAAAGAGTGGTGAAGTAGAACTCATCGGCCATAATGACGCCGTCAGCAAGGTTCTTGATCATAGTACAGGCTTTAGTGCTGTCACCTAGCTTGTTTTCAACAATTCCATTCTTAACAAGCAACGCCACGTCCTCCGGGGTGTTCACAAGAATGTTTAAGATGACAACATAATCATTTATGTAATTTTCTACCTTCTTGCATAGGGTTTGTTCAAAGACAAGGAGATTTGTGAGTGTAACCTCTGATTGATCACTTATTGTTATTTTTGGAATTTCCAAAATGCCATCGTCAATATTGAACCGAATGTCGAATATGTTTGTGCTTGACCCCTTCTTAAACTTGACCCCTGCTCGGTATAACTGTGTCATGCTGGGTATGGTTTGGGTTTCAAGTTGCCCTCCACCTTGTGGTACATCCATTACACATGATGATATCATGCCTATGGTTAGGGTTTGGAATGGCCCTTGAACTGGTGGCAGTTTCGATTTTAATTGTGGAGGCAGTGGATATAACTTTCTAACAAAATCAACAAAATGCTCTACCTGATGAGGAGGACGTATCCGGGTCAAAGTGTCTTCTATGTCTTCCATGTCCTTCATATGCATTAGAGTCTTGAAGAAATGGTAAGAAAGATCAATAATTGTCGTCTGGATGCCAACTATATTTCTTTCATGATCGAAAAGATCCTCAAGAATGAAGAAAGGCAGCTGATTTTCAAGCATCCGCATGTCAGGCCATACATCCTCCAACATCCTTGGTTTGTTAAATATACGATCATTCTCAACCTGCAAATTCTTGTAACAGAACCTCAACAAGACCTCGATGATGAAGGCCGCATCCACCAGAATGATTCTTACAAATTCATCGCGACTGAACCCAATGGTCTCTGCATAACAACTGCGCAGTTTTGCTTCTTGGGCCCTTATTTTCCTTATAAAATATTCCAAACTTACATTGGTCCGATGTAAAAAATCTTGTAGGTACCTATTTTTAAGCTCTTCCATGGCTTTCAGGGCTTCTTTTCCATGGTGAAGGGGGCCTATAGAGACTACCTGAGGCGTGTAGGCTTGTTCACTTACGCGCCGTAATCGCTTAGGAACTCTGTAGATGCAACATGAAGGGGACAGGGGAGGCAATCTATCCAACACCTCACTCATTGAAGTTACTAATGGATCATGATTGATTAATTCCATTTCCCTCTAATAGATGGCAATGATGATATGATAATCCTGGCACCACAATCAACAAATATTGCATTAACTACTTACATTCCAAGATGCTCCGACCAAAAATAAAAAATGCATGGGTGTGCATGGTCTAGTTTGATATTGTAATCGATCTTCTTTTTTCTTTTTTCTAATTAAATTTCTAACATCCTAACAAGAAAATGCCAAGGGCCACAAAAATAATAAAAATAACCAAGGCTAGTTTTCGATTTAAGCAAATACCATCTATGTCAAATCGAATTGAACCAAACTAATTATGATTTGACTCAGTTCGGTCCAATATTACACTTTTTTAATGTTAAAACTTAAAAAATAAAAATAAAAAACCGCCCCAATTGATTTAATTTGGCTAGTTTGAACAAGTCCATCTGCTTACCTCATTTATAAAGTAGAAGAAGCAAACAAAATGCAAATCTATATGGAGAACTTATAATACTTCATATATGTTAACATGAAACTAGGTCAATTATCGAATATGGATTTAGGTAGATTAGCTATATTCTTGTTTGAAGCATATTCTGAAGAAGAAACTTGTAATAAAGCAAATTCTGAAGAAGAAAAAAAGATAGCAGATAGTACAGAAAACAATAGACAGACCAAAATTCCAATATTGAATGAAAGAAGAAACTTAGAACATCCCTTTCCTTAATTCCAACTACCAAATGAAACATTATGAATTGAAAAACAAAAAAGCAAAAAAGAAGTGAATTTGCAGACCTTGTATATATGTATAAACAAGGCCAAGATTGTTGTGCCTCTGGTAGATTTCTAGAAAAGCTCAGTGCAGACAGCTTGCTCCTCTGGTAGATATATATGAAATAGAAATCTTGCCTCAATAATGGGAAAATGGTGGGGGCTTAGGGCTATATATGTAATAAGAATGAGTTGCTTGGTCAACAGATCAGAGAGCTTCCTTGCTATTTCAAGGAACGTGTATGTTTGTTGTGTGTTTGACAATAAGCAGATAACTTGCATTAAAATCCATGCATCCAGAGTACTATTTGTTTTTCTGGGTAGCTTCTCTAGATAATTTCTGATTATCTTTATTCATTTTATTAATCATTTTATCAATCATTAGGCTTATAACCTTTAAAATAGGTGTGAACCATGGTGATTCATCAAACTTATCCATGTCTCAGTTTGTTCTTTTTGTACTTGGACATATATTTATTCTTATCTTTGAAATTTAAATGTTCTTTTTTCTAGCTTTAATCTACTCTTTTACCTAACATCGCCATAATCTAATAACTATATTGTGTGTTTGACAATATAAGCAGATGGCTTGCGTGAGAATTAAAGGGCCGATGGTACGTTAGAGGGTTTTCATCCTAACCCAGACAATACGTATACGTAGATGGCTTGTACGTATTACCATTTGTTTTTCGAGGTAGGTTTCTATTAGAGAATCTAGAGATCATCATTTCTGATTATATCTTTATCCATTTTATTAATCATTTTATCAATCATTAGTGTTGAATGGAAAGTTCTAAAGTCACACCTTAAGCTAATTACCCTTTTAAAATAGGTGTGAACCATGGTGATTCATCAAACTCTTGTCCATGTCAAGTTTTTATTTTTTGTACGTTTTAAGCTACTTGTTCTTATCTTTGAAATTTAATTGTACTTCTTTTTTCTAGCTTTTATATACTAATTTTTTTAGCTACTTTTAGAGCATTTCCAGCAATGCAGGCTTGGGGGGGGGGTGGTTGGGGCTTTTTGGCATTTCCAGCAGCAAAAGGGAGCCCGGGCAGGAGGTGGGGGCCAGCAGCCTGGGCTAGCCCTCGGTGGGGTTCGGCCCGAGTGCTTGCCCGCAGGTTGAGCTGACGTCAGCGCGTTGACGTCGTTGTGACGCCAGCGCTACAATGTCCGCCAACGATTATGTGCCATGTGTCGTGTCCTGGGCTCTCCGATCATAATTTTTGCTCCAATCCAACGGCAGCCAATATTTTTGTAATAAAAAATTGAAAAAAAATCCGCACAAATTGAAAAAAATACCAAAAAATTACTTCTTTTTTTTTTTTTTTTTTCTCTCTATACCTTATTTTCATTTTCAACATTTAAGTAAATGGAGTAATATAAAAATAAATAAAAGTAAAAGGACAAAGTAAGTTTACAATGTAAATAAGGAAGTACCCCCCATTTAGATTCAAATAAAAATACTAGAAAATCAAATTCCCACCAAATCAAAATATGAAAAATCGGTTTTAGTGCAAAATACTATTTAGGCTAAAAATGATGGCTCATTAAGTCAATATATACTTCATATTAAAATCCCATAAAATCAAGTTTTCTTATTTGATGTATAAGGAATATAAGCCGCCAAAAATTATCTTGAGAAAATGATTATTCCGAAAAACTATTTTTCATACTCCGTCAATATTGCACCTCCGCTAAAAAAATTCCGGGTCCGCCAGTGTCTATAAATACCAACCAATACTCTTCACTTTTAACACCAAATCCTCATACTTTTTTTTTCTATAAATACCAACAACCAATACAACTAATAAAATAAAATCTTAATCCGATAATAATAAAATCTTGCCTTTCATTTCCTTAGTTTTCTTTCCTTTTTTTTTTTTTTTTTTTTTTTTTTTTTTTTTTTATAATAATAGTGGTCATTCATATATTTATTTTATTAGTTGTATTGATTTTTTTGAATTTTGAATTTTGAAATTTATATGAAATTTGAAACCAAAAATCTTATTCGATATGAATAGTATTGACATGTAGGAACCCAAAAATTTTATCCGAAAATATTATCCAAATTAATTGTTTAAGTAAACAAAGTTGTGAAAAAAAAACAAAAAAATGAATAGTATTTGCCATGGCAAGCCTAAATTGTTGGAAACACACTTTGCTGGGGGGCTAGGGCAGCCACTATTTATGTGAATAGTAACTGCCCTAGGGCTCCCCTTGCCATGGCAAGGGGCTAACTGGTGGAAATGCTCTTAAGGGTGCAGTATCCTCCATTGAATGCGTGCCCAAGAAAAACCGGTAGATGTATAACTTCCCCTTATCTCTAATAACTATACTGTGATCTACCAAGTACTAACAAAGGTCACAGGTACGTCGTTGCCAAAATAGAATGACCACTGATAAGACACGTATCTAGTCATTGTGGGGCTTCCATGGTGTTGCCACTTGCTATATCCACTGCAAACGGTGTATGTGGCCTTTTGCGTGCAGGTCCCACTCCAATCTCAGCCCTGCGTGTAACTCTCTGACAATTTGATAACTAACTCGTTGACAAGCTTGCAACAAGGTTACAAATTTCTACAGCGCAAACATGAATCTCTCACTAAAATACACAGAGTCAAAGAAATGAAATGATCACATTGCTTCAATCAATCTACAATACTTGTTACATGCATAGGGTGTTGGAAAACAATAATCAGTAGATGTCTTGCATGACAATTAAAGGTCCGTAAGCCTCCAATTTGTCCAATGGGGTCTTAAACTACAAGACACCAATAGGAACATGGTTAAGAAGATAGACTGCAAAGGTGATTGCCTCCTCCCAGAATTGTGGGGTCATACTGGCACCAATAAGACTAGCACGAGTAATTTCAAGAATTTGGCAATTCCTCCTTTCAACTACACCATTCTGCTGAGGTGTGTAGGGACACGTAGTCTGATGTATAATTCCATGTTCCTGTAGCAGAAAACCTTTAAAGTAGCATATTCACCACCATTATCCGAACGAAGAACCTTTAAAGTAGCAGAAAACTGAGTTTTAAAATCATCTAGTGAAAAGTCTGAAAGCAAGCAAAAACATGACTCTTATTTTTCATCAGGTACAACCACGTCATGCGAGTGCAATCATCCACAAAAATAACAAACCAATGAAAGCCAGAAGTAGTAGTAACTGGAGCAGGGCCCCAAACATTAGAATGTACGAAAGCAAAAGGCACAAATCTTTTATTAGAGCTAATAGGATAAGTTGCACTGTGACTTTTTGCCAAAATGCAAGTGTCACACTTAAAATCCGAAGATTTACAAGCTGAAAATAAAGACAAAAAAAAATGTTGTAAATAGCCGAATGAAACTTGACCCAAACAAAGATGCCATAACCACAGTTGATCCTCAAATGCACGGTTCGAACCCTTGAGAGACAGAGATTTGCCTACACATCATCCACATAGTACAAGCCCCCTCTCTTAGTATCACGCCCAATAATCTCCCCACTACTGAGAACCTGAAGAAGACTGAAAGTATGATAGATTAATACTAAACAATTTAATTGTTTTGTTATTTGCGAAATAGATAACAAATTATTAAAGGGCATAGGAACCAATAAAGTATGGTCCATGTGAGAGAGGGAGTTCAATCAACACTTCTAGCACTAGTGACTGGAGAGGGCACACAATTGGCATTAGCAATAGTAGAACAAGCAGGAGAACGATGATGGTGAAGGAGAGATGCATCAAACATCATATGATCAGTAGCTCTAGAATCAAGAATCCAACCATGGTCCTTTTGAGAATCAGTAGCAAGAAGAGCTAGACCAATATTACCTGATTGTTGGAGAAAGGCAGTATCTACCCCATAAGGAGTAGAGGTAACGGACATCACAAAGGATATGGCGACAACAAGAGGTATCGGTTCAGCGGTATAAACGACGCCTTTTCCCTCCTTTCGGCTAGAGCAGTTGTCACGACCCTCACAAGCCCTTCACTCTTTATAGCTATCCCACAGTTAAAGGTATCCGTTGAAAGCAATGCTCCACAGAATGGCAAGTACTGCCACAGTGAGTACACTTCCCTCTAGTAAAACTATAAGATGAGTGTTAAGTCAACGACTGATTCCCATGTTTCTTGATAGCCATAGCCACACTGGAAGCACTGCTTGGATTAAGCATGGTATTGCAGCATTGCTCCTCACTCCTCATAGTGGAAAAGGCTGTCGCAGGGTTAGGGAATGTTTATGTATGAAGAATTTCTCCTCGAATAGGATCATAAACATCATCAAGACCAATCAAAAACAGATAAACACATTCCTCATCAATCTCCTTCTGGTGAACCTTAATCACGTCATCCTGGGTAAAAGTAATTGGCCTGGGGTAATCAAGCTCCTGCCAGATAGCTTTCAAATCCGAAAAATAGGACGCAACTGGTCTTTCTGTCTGCTTAGTCTCCATAGCTTTGCGAGATAAATCATCGATAATCAATCTGTCAACACCTTCATAATATATCTGAGACGCGGCCTCCCAAATATTTTTGGCTGTAGGAAGACGAATAAACATATTCATCACACTCGGTTCCATGGCAATGATAAGACAACCTCTCACAATAGCATTCTCCATAACCCACTTCTCATAAGTGACTGCATCATAAGCAGGTTCTGGAATAGTACCTGTAAGATATCTCATCTACCCTCGGCCCGCAATAAACATAGTAACAACTTGGGACCAGATGGTGTAGTTGGTGCCACTTAACTTGACACCATAAGGAATAGACATCGGTTCGTTAACAACAGTCACAACCGACTTAGAAGCAGAAGTAATTGAAGCATCAGCAGCAGCAACAGCCTCTTGATCAAAAAGGTTGCCAATCTCAATATCGTCACAAGCCATAAAGGTAGATTTAGGGTAAGGTGTAGAATAAAGTACAGCAAATTTCGACAAGGGCAGGAAATTTAGGGCAAAAGTAAGGGTATGAAAAATTGTGGCATGGTACAACAACAATAATAACAGTAATGGCGGCGTCGACGACAAGGAAGCAAAATCCTAGGATCACTGCTATGATACCAACTCAAATAGAATTTAGGGTTATGAATAATTCAGTATATTTCCATTCTTCTCACAAGGAGATATTTATAGTGATACAATTCCTATAATTACAAATCAATTATAATAAGAATAATGCTACTCTTACCACATTTGTATACCACATCCTTATACCATCTTATGTGGCAGCTGAGGTGGATAGCCACATCAATTAAAATTATTTCATATTTTTTTTCTTTTATGATTTATACCAGTATTTGTTTTTCTAATTGTCTTAATTAAAATACACTTCATTGATTTAATTAATGTGGTAGGAGATCCATTCGATACTTAAATGGTATCCAAATTGAAATCCGAGCACACCTACGCACTCTTGAGGAGCAGGAGATCACCTCGGGACACAATGCCCCTTTTCTACAGTGCCCACGCGCAACCACACACGCCGGCAGCGCGTGGGTGTCCAAAGTGATAACCTTCCACCGGAAAAAACTCCAAATCAAGGCACAAGACTCCTACCTTAGGTGTAACACCCTATTTGGAACCACTTTTGTTCTTGGACCTACCCCAAAAAGTGGCCGGAATAACGATCCCAAAACTGGCCGAAATCCAATTCGAAAATCAAACAATCTAGGCTCAAAATTGATGCAATCCTACCCAACCATCAGCTAGATCATGAAGAAAGGATGAATTTACATACCTTGATCGCCAAAAATGGCGGCCGGAGGAGAGAGATTGAAGCCGGCGAAGTTTCGAGCGAAACCCGACCTAAATACCACATTTTCGGGCAGCTGGAGCGGCGGCCGATGTTGGGGAAGGGCTGGGTCGTGACGCCAGGGCTGAGCCGGTTCTTTTGGCACCAGTTCCGTCTGCAACCATGGCCCGTGGCCGGTGGCCGGAGTTTCGAAGAGAGAGAGAGAGTGGCTCCCTATAATTTAATGCTGCTTTATTAAACCCTTGTTGAATGCTAACTATTTTTTATTTTATTTTTTAATAGAGGTGGACCAATCAAACTGAGCTCCTAAAATAACATTTATGACTCCCATGACTCTCTCTCAACCAAAAATATAGTAAATCTACATTTTCACCTGGCTGCTGTCACCTCTAATATTTTCACCTGTATGTTCAAAGGACCAAATTGGTTTCCCCTTGGTCGATTACAAGAGAAGCTCAATGCAGCTTTTTTGGTTCCTCAAGAGAAGCTCATGAAATAATGTTGCCTCAAATTTGCCTTCCACTCATTCCAAGTCTTTCTGCAGTAGCTATTGAGGTCCTTAGAAAGATCAGCATAGTAGAAGCTTTCACCATACAAAGCAACTCCTCTTCCAAGGTTGTTAATCAGAATGCACACATCATTGTCATCACCAAGCGTATGTTCGACAATCCCATCCTTCAGAAGGAACTCGACATCCTTTTCGGTGTTCACCAAGTCATCCATGAGCGAAACATAATCACTTATGTAATTTTTATCGCAATGGCACTGTTCAAAGGCAATGAGGTTTCGGAGTGTGAGCTCCGTGTGATCGTGTATTTTTAGTTTTGGAATTTCTAGAATCCCATCCTTGAATTTTATATCGAATAAGTTTCTGCTTGATCTCAACTTAAACTTGACCCCAGCCTGGTGTAGTTTCGTAATGCAGGGTGTAGTGCTTGGCCCTTCATTGCTTTGATCTGATTCCTCCAATATTGGAAGATGTAAAGTTCTTATAAGTTTCGTAATGCAGAGTGTAGTGCTTGGCCCTTCATTGGTTTGATCTGATTCGTCTATAAGATGTAAAGTTCTTATAAAATCAAGAAAATGTTCAACTTCAAGACTTCTACTAGAAGAAGAAATTCTCTGCCAACTGTCTTCTTTCCCCGATAAACCCGTTATATTATTTGTCAAGAATTAGTAAGAGAGATTAATCATTGAAAGCTTCTCTCTCTTAGAAGAAACTGTAATTTTGTTAGGGTCAAAAAGATCCTCAAGAATGAAAAATGGCAGTTGATTTTCAAGCAATTGCAAGTCAGGCAATAGATCTAGAAGCATCCTTGGTTTGTTAAATATGCGGTCATCTTTATGTCCCGATGCTACAAGACCACAATCTCTCAACAAGAGCTCAATGATGAAGGCGGCATCCACTAGAATGATTCTTACAAACTTGTCACTGCTAAACTTAATGGTTTCTGAATAACAACTTCTTAATTGTTCTTCTTTATCCCTTATTTTCTTTATATATTCCTTCAATATGAAATCCTTTAAGCTTACGTTTGTCCGATCTAGAAAACGTTGTAGGTACCTTCTCTTCTCCTCTTCCATGGCTTTTAAGGCTTTCTTGCCATGGTGGAGTGGAACTATAGAGACTACCTGAGGTGTGTATGCCTTTTCATTTACACATCGTAGTCGCTTAGGAACTTTGTAAATACAACGCGGAGAGGATAGACGACATAAGCTATCCAATTCCCTTTTCATGGAAGTTTCTAATGAAATGTGTGGGTTTTCAATTTCAACTGGAGCAGCTTGATTGCTTCCTTCCATTTTCCTCTTGATGGCTTTTGTGATTTTATTAGATGACGATGATGCTGATATATTTCTGGCAGAACAACAAATCTTTCAACATTAAAACTCCAAGATGCATGCTCCAACTACTAAATTAAACGTTAAAAGAAAGCAATAAATAAAAAGGCTAATGAAACCTATATGCCCAGGTGAGGGGATGCCACAAACTTATTTCAACCTTTAGATAAACATGTAGATCTTGTATATATTGCAGTTCTCTACGCTGTTAAGAATAACATTATAGGATTGCCCCGCAATATAGTACTAGTTTAATGATCTAAATAGTCTATCTTTTATCTTCTTTGATCCTGGCTTAATCGCCAATATTAAAAACAACAAACTATACATATTGCATCTCAAATTATACATATTGCATCTCAAGTCAAATTATACACTTACACTCCTTTTTTAGTTATAAAATGGAGTATAAGTGGATAAAATTGGAGTGGAGAAATCACCACTCTTTTTTTATAACCTTTTTGGGGTTAATGGACTGTGTTAAAGTAGTTTAGATTATATTAGAGTAGAATATTGCTTATATAAAAAGGGGTGGAGTGGTGAAACATTCTGTACTACATGTTCAGGTTTTCACAAAGAGTGGTGAAGTAGAACTCATCGGCCATAATGACATCGTCAGCAAGGTTCTTGATCATAGTACAGGCTTTAGTGCTGTCACCTAGCTTGTTTTCAACAATTCCGTTCTTAACAAGCAACGCCACATCCTCCGGGGTAAATACAAAACCAATGACAAGTCCAAATGATTGACCTCTTTGTTTTGCGGTTTCCATTCATTTTGTGACAAATCCAATTTGATGTCTTGTTTACTCTCATGCACTTGCCATCCTTGTTCTTTAGGAATTTTTTCATCATCGATCTAAATAATTTTTTAATTTAAAAATGAACTTTTTCTGGCTTGTATCTTCTCTTTTACCATATTCCCTAATGTCTCTAACCGTTCACTCCACATTTAAATCTACATGTGGATCATATGCCCACTTGCAAAGGAGAACTCAAATTATTATCAACACCCACGCACTAGAAAAGTATCATGCGGGTTCAAACCTGACACCACTGGTCTACAAGTTAATATCCCCTAATGTCAACTCTATTATTAACATGTTACACGTTTCAACGTACAAGAACAAAAAAGTTACTAATTTCAACACAAATATGAATCTCACTACCACACTCACAAAGAAGCTATAGGAACCCTTTTCTTCTTCTTCTTTTTTTCCTTTATAAATCTCTCTCAAGACACTACGGACAATGATTTCTTCTCCTAAACATATATAATAAGGCAATGGGAAAAAGGATATGGAGAGACTTGTTGTGGCCGAATATTAATTCATGCTAAAGTAACAGATACAATAGAGCATACTGTTTGTATAAGAGTGAGTATGAGGAGAACAGCAGCTGCAATGACAGAGAGAGTTGCCCGAGGTGAGTTGAAATAATTTTGTCGAACTACAGTACTTGTTCAGGTCTTTAGAAATATCAGCAAATGTGAAGTTGTCGGATGCATAAATCCCAATGCCAAGGTTGTTAAATAGAGTAGACACATCGCTGCTGTCACCTAGAACATTTTCAATAATTCCATACTTACAAGCAAATCCACATCCTTTGGGCTGTCCACAAAACGACCCATGACGTTAATATAATTAATCACTTACAAGTTACGTAACAGGATTGGTGCATGCAATGACACTGTTCAAAGGCAAGAAGATTTCTAAACGAAATCTCTGTGTCATCATTTATTGCTATTTTGGGAATTTCCAGAATCCCATCGGTATGGAATCATATGTCAAATACTATACTTTTTTGGGTATTTCCTACTATACTATTTAGGTTTGCATACACAATTAGAAATTCTACAACAGAAGCAAGATCAATCTCACTAGGCTTTCTAAACAAACAAACAAATAAAACTAGCATATTAATTGCTTTAATCACTCTACTAACATCAACACAGCACACTTAGTTTACTGACATATGATACAGAAAGGAAAAAAAAAAGACCAATAGGGAGAAAATGGTGAACAGAAATAATACTTCTGGTTCTTAGAAGGCATAACAGAAATAATAGAGCACACTGCTTGAATGCAAGTCAGTATTAGGAGCAAACAGCTGCAATGACAGAAATAGTTGCCCAAGGTGTATTGAAATAATTTTGCCTCAAATTTGCCTTCCATTTCTTCCAAGGCTTTCTGCAGTAGCTATTGAGGCTCTCAGAAAGAGTAGTAAAGTAAAAGCTTTCACGATCCACGGAAATTCCTCTTCCGAGGTTGTTAATCAGAGTGCACACCTCATTGTTGTCACCAAGCATATTTTATACAATCCCATCCTTCAGAAGGAACTCCACATCCTTTTCGGTGTTCACGAAGTCATCCATGAGTGAAACATAATCACTTATGTAATTGTTATGGAAAAGGCACTGTTCAAAGGCAAGGAGGTTACGGAGTGTGAGCTCTGTGTAATCATGTATTTTTAGTTTTGGAATTTCTAGAATCCCATCGTTGAATCGTATATCGAATAAGTTTCTGTTTGATCCCAACTTATAACTTGATCCCAGCCTTGTGTAGTTTTGTAATGCAGGGTGTAGTCATATTACTTTTGCTTGGCCCTTCATTACTTTGATCTGATTCCTCCAATGTTGGAAGATGTGAAGTTCTTATAAAATCAAGAAAATGTTCAACTTTAGGATGACTACTAGAAGAAGAAATTCTCTTCAAACTGTCTTCTGCCCCCTCTAATTCCAGTGTCATTGTCAAGAACTCGTAAGAGAGATTAATCATTGAAAGCTCTTCTTGCTGTTAGAAGAGACTGTAATAATGTCAGGGTCAAAAATATCATCAAGAATGAAAAATGGCGGTTGATTTTCAAGCAATTGCATGTCAGGCGCTATATATAATGTATCAGTCATTTTCCCATTCAAAATATTGAAATTACGAACTATGTACCATGAAAGTTAAGAAACTAAAAGCTTCAAGAAAATAGAAATGTGCTACAAACGTAGCAATGAAGATGGAAGCATTATCTCAGAAGAATGATTCTGAATTGGAAAAAACAAAGTTGGTTTCCCTTGGTTCCTCTGGTATATGAGAGTATAATTTTTCTCCTAATAAGGGTTTAGTACAACTTTTTTGTTTTATATGTTTATGTGAGACAAGTTTTGCAAGGTTGAATGCAGTGGCAGAGCATGGACTTGATTTGGAATTGAATGGCTTGTATTAAAATAATTAGGAATTGAATGGCTCCTACGTTTGTTTGTTTGTTTTTTTTTATTTATCCGAGCCATTCAATTCCTAATTATTTAGATTTTGGATCCAGTTCCTCATCTCAAAGAAAGAAAACCCCAAGTTTGCAAGCAAGTTTTCTATGTATGCATATGTGAAAAACTGATATTTATGAAAATAATAAATCCATATTTTTTATGTAAGCCAACTTTCTAAATCCATGTACTGATATTTATTAGGGAAATATTGGAGAAAATGATTTTTTTGAAAAATTAAATGTGAAAAACTGAACAAAAATTTGACGGGTTACAAATTTCAACTCATATTGTTGGATTATTCCCTGCTGTAATAGTACTTGTACGAATCTCACAATGTTAAAACAAGCACATAGCACACCTTTATTGAAAACAAAGCTAGCCCTGATCCACTCCTTTACATACTTAAAAACAAAACAAAACGAAAAAAAGATAGGGAGGAAAAGAGAGAAAGAGCTGCTGCTGCTAAACTTAGATAATAGTGAACACTGTTTGTATGACAGTGAGTATGAGAAGAGTAACCGCTGCAAAGAGAGAAAGAGCTGCCCAGGGTGTGTTGAAATACCTTTGGCTCAAATATGCCATCCATCTGTTCCTGCACTTCTTGCAGTGGTTGTTTAGCTCGGCAGCAAGACCACCAAAATAGAACTTTCGCTGGTCCGGAGCAACCCCCTTGCAAAGATGGTTAATCATAGTAGAAACCTTATTGTTGTCACCTAGTGTGTTTACAACAATTTCACTCTCAACAAGCAAGTCTACATCCCATTTGGTGTTTACAAATTTATCCAGGAGGAAAACATAATCGCTTAAGTAATTGTCTGTGCAATGGCATTGTTCAAATGCAATGAGATTTCTGAGTATAAGCTCTGTGTCATCATGTATTTCTAGTTTTGGAATTTTCAGAGTTCCACTTTGGAACTGTATCGCGAATAAGTCGTTGCTTGATTCCGGACGAAACTTAACTCCGACCCGGTGTAGTTTTGTCACGCTGGGTATACATGGGAGTTCTCCAGCTCTTGAGGTATCGGTATCCAAATATTGCACATGTAAAGTTCTAATAAAATCAACAAAATGTAAAGGTGGTTTAGTACACTTCAATTCGTCTTCCGACCAATGTAAACCCGCTACCTTTTTGAAGAAACGGTAAGAGAGCTTAATCATTGAAGGCCTCCCAGCTGTCTCAGAATTCTTAACTCTGACTTTGCTTGCGTCGAAAAGATCCTCAAGAATGAAAAATGGCAGCTGATTTTCGAGCAAAAGCATGTCGGGCACTATATTTGTTAACATCCATGGTTTTTTAAATATCCAGTCATTATCATCTCGCAATTCTTCGGAATAGTACCTCAACAATAGCTCAATGACAAAGGCGGCATCAACTAGAATGATACATACAAAATTGTCGCCCTTCTTGAAGTGCTGAGCGTTTCCATAACAACCAAGGAGTTTATCTTCTTGGGCCTTTATTTTCTCTACATAATCCTCCAAGCTAACCTCATTATTCCGATTAAGAAAATATTGTAGGTACCTCTGTTTGTATTCTTCCATGGCTTCTAATTCTTTGTTGTTATGGTGAATTGGGCCTATTGAGACTACTTCCGGGGTGTAAGCGTTATTCTTATTTCTGTCCCGTAGTCGCTCAGGAACCTTGTAGATACAGCACTCATCAGAGGACCGGCGAGACAAACTTTTCAAACCGCAGCTTCAAATCTGCTACTGGGGTTTTGGGATTTTCTACGTCATGTGGAGCTTCATTGCTGCATCCTTCCACTACCATTATGTGTTGTTCTGATTGTAAGTGATGAGGGTATTATTGGCACCATAATAAACAAATGTTTCAATCATTACAGACATTTCAAGATGGTTCCTTCAAAAATTTAGAAAACATGCATCACAAAATGCGAAATCGTACAATAGATAGGATATAGGAGATAACCTACCCAATTCCTGTCTCATGGAAGTTTCTAATGGAATGTATGGGTTCTTTATATCAACTGGAGCAGCTTGATTGATTCCTTCCATTTTCCTCTTGATGCGCTATAAAACAAAAGATAAGAAACTAAAAACTTCAATAAAATGGATATCTGCAAGTAGAACAAGGAGAAGGATATAAATGTTGAGGAAAATTAGAGTACACAACTCTAATATAGACTTGTTGAAGACAAAACAAGTAAACAAATTACTTGTATTAGACTCACAAACTATTACAACAAGACAACTCTCAAAGAAAAGACAAACTCTTACAATCACTCTTTCTCACTTCTAGAGACAAGGTTTCACACTTTCACAAGGACTACTTAACTCTACAGCTTATTGCATATAGCATATAGCATATGCAAACACAATTAGAAATTCTACAACAGAAGCAAGATCAATCTCACTATATAGGCCTTCTAAACAAACAAACAAATAAAACAAGCATATTAATTGCTTTAGTCACTCTACTAACATCAACACAGCACACTTAGTTTACTAACAGATGATACAGAAAGGAAAAAAAAAGGGATCAATAGGGAGAAAATGGTGAACTAAGGAGAGACTAATACTTCTGGTTCTTAGAAGGCATAACAGAAATAATAGAGCACACTGCTTGAATGCAAGTCAGTATTAGGAGAAAAACAGCTGCAATGACAGAAATAGTTGCCCAAGGCGTATTGAAATAATTTTGCCTCAAATTTGCCTTCCGTTTGTGCCAAGGCTTTCTGCAGTAGCCATTGAGGCGCTCAGAACGAGTAGCAAAGTGGTAGCGTTTAGGATGCAAAGCAACTCCTCTTCCGAGTTTGTTAATCAGAGTGCACACCTCATTGTCATCACCAAGCATATGTTCGACAATCTTATACTTCAGAAGGTACTCCACATCCTTTTCGGTGTTCACAAAGTTATCCATGAGTGAAACATAATCACTTATGTAATTGTCATGGCAATGGCACTGTTCAAAGGCAATGAGGTTTCGGAGTGTGAGCTCCGTGTTATCGTCTATGTTTAGTTTTGGAACTTCTAGAATCCCATCCTTGAATTTTATATCGAATAAGTTTCTGCTTGATCTCAACTTAAACTTGACCCCAGCCCGGTGTAGTTTCGTAATGCAGGGTGTAGTGCTTGGCCCTTCATTGCTTTGATCTGATTCCTCCAATATTGGAAGATGTAAAGTTCTTATAAGTTTCGTAATGCAGAGTGTAGTGCTTGGCCCTTCATTGCTTTGATCTGATTCTTCTATAAGATGTAAAGTTCTTATAAAATCAAGAAAATGTTCTGTTTATACCAAAATGAACACCCAATGAATATCAAACACGTGGACTAAACCAGGGCTACGTGTGCCTTCAGAACTCACCTTCGGTACAAATCCTACCGATCGCAACATGAGGGCAACCTCGCCCACTCTGACACGTGGCAGTCCCACGATTGACGCCCAGAGTCCCACATCGAAACTCTAAACAAATTGCACGCCTCCCAAGGCCTATAAAAGAGGACACCTATCCCAGCTTGAAGGTAATCAATCAGAACTCACGGCATACTGCCTATTGATCTGCAGTTAAAACTTACTAAATCCGTACTTACTTAAGCATCGGAGAGCCTTCGGCCGGTACCACACCGGTGCCCTAGGATTTACCGTGTGTTTGCTATCTTACAGATCGCACACCCTATCGAGGACATCAGATACCGAAGAGACTTAATCACTAAGTTGCGCGGGAAAGTGCAGAACCATTTTTCTGCGTCAACATGTTCAACTTCAAGATTTCTACCAGAAGAAGAAATTCTCTGCCAACTGTCTTCTTTCCCCTCTAAACCCGTTATATTATTTGTCAAGAATTCGCAAGAGAGATTAATCATTGAAGGCTTCTCTCTCTTAGAAGAAACTGTAATTTTATTAGGGTCAAAAAGATCCTCAAGAATGAAAAATGGCAGTTGATTTTCAAGCAATTGCAAGTCAGGCAATAGATCTCGAAGCATCCTTGGTTTGTTAAATATGCGGTCATCTTTATGTCCCGATGCTACATGACCACAAGCTCTCAACAAGAGCTCAATGATGAAGGCGGCATCCACTAGAATGATTCTTACAAATTTGTCACTGCTGAACTTAATGGTTTCTGAATAACAACTTCTTAATTGTTCTTCTTTATCCCTTGTGATCTTTGTAAATTCCGTCAAGCTTGCAGCTGTCCGACGTAGAAAATCTTGTAGGTACCTTTTTTTGTGCTCTTCCATGGCTTTTAAGGCTTTCTTGCCATGGTGGAGTGGACCTATAGAGATTACCTGAGGTGTGTATGCCTTTTCATTTACACATCGTAGTCGCTTAGGAACTTTGTAAATACAACACGAAGAGGATAGAGGAGATAAGCTATCCAATTCCCTTCTCATGGAAGTTTCTAATGGATTTTCAATGTCAACTGGAGCAGCTTGATTGCTTCCTTCCATTTTCCTCTTGATGGCTTTTGTGATTTTATTAGATGACGATGATGCTTATGTATTTCTGGCAGAACAACAAATCTTTCAACATTAAAACTCCAAGATGCTAAATTAAACGTTAAAATAAATAAACATATGGTTATCTACAGTACTTCTTTGATCTAAATAGTCTATCTTTTATCTTCTTTGATCCTGGATGTTTCTTATATACTGTGGATGTCTTGATATATAGAATCTCCCATAGTAGGAATCCTAAATCTTGCACCGAAAATATATAAGATCCTAGATTGTGAATTAATTTGGGTTGGACGCTATACTACCAAAGCGCAGAGAATTCATGTGTCAAGCTCAAATAGAATTGATCGGTCCGCGGATTTAACTCACTCCCGCAACTCCATATATAACAAACTAAAGCTTCAAGAAAAAGGGTGCACAAAAATAGCAATTAGAAGTATGGAACCGAAAAAAATTATTAACTCAAAACTTAAAAGAGAGGAAGTGATTCGTGGCCAGCTGTTTACCTCCTTTGGGAGAGCTCCCGCAGCGAAAGGGATTAGTCACTGCTGTCGGCGTTGGTGGGTTAAAACACACCTCCAAAGCTTCTTTTGCCTCGATAGCTGACTGAAAAGTTCAATGCAGATAGTTTGAGGTAGAACTTTCTCCTATTAATAGCACAATGATGAGCTATATGTAAGAACAAGTTGATTTAATCTTCCATTAAAAACAACAAAATTGCTTTAATAATGATAATTAAAATAAGTATGATTCCTTTAGAAGTCAGATCAGTTTAGAGCTTCATTGCTTTTAACATTTGCGGTGATTCATTATTATTATTAACATTTGCGAAATGGACTTTAGAAATACAGTCAAAGCTCATTTACAACTTATTTAAGAGGCTCCAAACTTCCTATAAATTACATTACAGTCATCGATTTCTTAAAACAAACCCAACCATAAAACCTAGAACATAAGTTTAAAACATTCTAATAAGCTCAATACATATGGTCTGCCTATATATAGGATGAAAAAAAATTACATAAACAACAGATATAACTATATGTTTCTTTTAAGAATAAAAAAATACCTATATGTTTGAGAAACAAAATAATAAAACTAAAACAATAGGTTAAAAACATTCTAATAAACTCAATACATATGGTCTACGTACTATATAGGATGAAAAAATTACATGAACAATATACCTACACCATGGGAAAAAAATAATAAATATGAGCTGAGTCATCAGCTCACTATGGTAAGTTTGCTGACGTGTAAAAATAGTCAATGGGTTAGATTATCATTTGTGGGTAACTAAAATCTCGTTTAACAACAATAGTTAACGCTTGTTTAGAGAAGGATAAAAACTTGATGATGTGTCATGTTCTAAAGGGTTAAATTATTATAATGGCTTAGATTTAACGAAATACAGGTAAATACGTAATGTCTAAATGTAGAGGCTCGGAATCCTCAACTACCATTGAAACATAAGAAACTAAAATCTTCAAGAAAATGCTATCAACTGAAAAAACAATAAATAAAAAACAAAAAAGGAAGGGAATTTGCACCTGCTATGATGGGTTCAATGCTTCTTCTTATTTTTGTTGTGGAAATGAAAAGCTCAATGATGGGCTATATATAGGAAGAAGCTCAATGATTGAATTAATATCTTCTATCTACCATCTTCCTCGCTAAAAACACAAATGGGGCAGACCAGCACGTGGACTTGGGTTGACAAGAATAAGACAAACAGCGACACAGACCTAACATTCATACTTCTTTTTTTTCTTTTTCTTTTTGGTTCTTTAGATCCAGTTGCACATTCCAAAGAAAGAAAACCTCAGGCATGCAATGCAAGCTCTTTTCCCATGTTTTCCTCTGTTTTTCTTCTATTATGGAAGTGATTAAAACACACCTCTAAGCTTGTTTTGCATTTGGTAGCAGACTGTGTAAAAGCTCAATGCAGATAGTTTGAGGTAGAATTTTCTCCTATTTTACTTGCACAATGAGGAGCTATATGTAACAACAAATTAACTGGCGATTGTCTTTTTTTTTGGTTTGGTTTTTGTGATGAAGAAGGGCCGATGGTCTTTAACTTGGTGAAAGCTTCTATCTACCTACCCTGCTATATGGGCTATGCAATGGTGATGGTGTTACATGACGTCACAATGTCGTAGGGAAAAAAATATAGTAAATTTGGCTTACACCCTTCAAATTCAATTTGCCATACCTAAAACCCCTTCACTTTTTGTTCCTATAAATAATACCCAATTTGTATAAGTAAAAACCCATGACTATGATCCAACTCAGCAAGTTACCTAATTAAGCATAAAATCTGATTTATTGTACTTTTCAGATTCCAAAAAATACCCCCAACTAAGCCATTATTGCATTTTGTATATTAATGTAGGAATCAATATGGAAACAGTTTTTTAATTGGATTGTATATAATGACAGATGTTGAATTTGGAAAGATCTCCAAATGGTTGTAATGGATGTAGGAATTAATTTTGGAACATTTAAAAAAATTTAACAATAAATTCAAATTTGGGTAATCGGTTTGTTTAAAAAATGTTTATGTTATTTTCTTTTTATGAATTATACATGACTAATAATCCACTTTATAATTGTTTATGAATAAAACTGTACATACTAATTATGTTGAAAAAATAATGTACCTATTTGTTTTATGAAAAATATAATTTACCTAGTATGAAAAGTGTACATAATTATCTATTCCAATATACCTACATTAATTTTAATGTACTTACAATTAGGATTTAGGTATTATATGTCATCCAATGTACCTACCATTTGAATAATATACCTACTACGAATAAAGTACCTATTATTTATCTAAATAATGTACCTATTTTTTTCTATAAATAATATAGCCTTTTTTCTCTGAATAAAGTACCTATTATTTGTTTTATTAAACGTAATTTTTTAAATGAACCTATTTTCTCTCTCCAAATAACTTACCAATTTTTTTCCTCTAATAATGTACCTATCTTTCCTCTCCAAATAATGTACCTATATTTTATATAAATTATTGTGTACCTATTTTTAATTATGAAAAATATACGCAATTACAAAGTAACTGACTTTTTTGGGGTAAATAATATACCTATATTTTATATGTATATTTATATTATATTTTTCATTAGGTATATTATTGGATTTATTTATATTTTTTTTTTTTTTTTTTTTTTTTGTTGGGGCGAGATGTGAGAGGGAATGACAACTAAAAGAAATGGGGGTGATTGATATGCTATTAATAGGGAGTATATTAATTACAATTATGGCAGTTAATGAAATGCTTGAAATAAATTATAAATAAAATATGAAGTTTAGTGGCAACGATGTAAAAACATAGAAATACTACGACCTCTTATATCCTACTGGGTCATTTAAATTTGAAATTGGGTTTTACACATAGATTATAGAGTGATGGGTATATGTCTAGGAAATAGAAAATGTAGGGATCTATATTGGACAACCTCAAAAAAATAATAGTCAAAGTTTTCTTATAATGTTAATACATGCATAGCAAAGAGCTTGTAACTTCAGTAGTTAAGAGCAGCTATTCATTCACTTGAGATTATGTGTTCAATCGAATCCCCTCTCCTCAATATTGCTTGTATAAAAATTATTTTTGAAGTAGAATTTTCTCCAATTTTACTAGCACAGTGATGAGCTATACTATATGTAACAACAAATTGCTTTAATAATGATAATTAAAAAAAGTGTGATTCATTGAATATTTGCGGGGTTTTGTTCCAAGTCAACACATCAAATTCCTTTTACACCATGAAATTCAAAAAGTTTTATTCAACCATCTCGACCTTATGCTCGATCATTTTCCACAAGCAACCGTCCACGTACCCCAATAATTTAAAAGGGCTGATGATCTTTAATTTGGTGAAAGCTTCTATCTACCTACCGTGCTATATATGAACTATGCAATCGTGACAGTGTTACATGACGTCACAATGTCGTAGGGATAAAAAAAAAGTGAGTTTCACTAAAACACCCAAAATGGGACTGAAATTATAAAAAAAAGTGAAGTTCACTAAAACACCCAAAATGGTGAAACATTCAAAATACCAGAAAATGTCATTAGTTAATCCAAACATTATGAATTAATAAAGATAATATGGTAAATTCACACTTTTCATATTAGAAAAATTAAAATTAAAAGAAATTCAAATAATAATCCTATTTTTATGGAACACAACGATCCATTATTATTTTTAATTCCAAAATAAATTTAAATTTTTTTTAAAAAAAAGCCTCTCGCATCAAATTCCTATATGTAACAACAAATTGCTTTAATAAAGATAATTAAAAAAAAGTGTGATTCATGAATATTTGTGGGGTTCGAAAAGTTCTAAGTCAACACATCAAATTCCTTTTACATCATCAAATTCAAAAAGTTTTTTTCCTTTTACACCATCAAATTCAAAAAGTTTTATTTGCGGGGTTTTACTGATCATTTTACCCCAATAATTTAAAAAGGGCTGATGATCTTTAATTTGGTGAAAGCTCTATCTACCTACCGTGCTATATATCGTGACGGTGTTACATGACGTCACAATGTCGTAGGGATTAAAAAATATACAAAATTCCACAATGAGCATTGAGCTCCATGATCATTACATCAACGACTACGTCTTCGTCATGGACCGCCTGGTCGACAGTGCCAGGGATGTGGAATTGCTTGTGAAGAGTGAAATTCTTGAATCTAAAAGCTACCGGACAGCGAGGCAGCAGCGGAATTTATTAATTCTCTTGACTTGGGGCCTTTTTTTGTTCAGAAGAAATTTCTATTTCACCGGTCTTTGTGAAAAGCTGAATGACTACTACAGAGTGCCCTGGCACAAGTGGAAGGCAAGCTTGAAACAAGACTATTTCAGTTCATCATGGGCGGCCTGTCTATTATTCAGACAGTGTGCTCCGTAATGGCGCTGTAGGTTCTTTATTTCCTCAATTTTATGTTTAGCGTTGCAGAT